TGAGCAGGGACTGAAATCCACCTCCTGCAGCTTTGCAAACTTAACTGTTTTCTTCTAAAGTTGGGCTGTGGCAACAGCTGCTTTTTCCCCCATTATTTTTCTGAACATTTTAAATTTATGGCTATATTAAAAAAATGTCTATCTGAATTTCCATCACTACTTGTGGCTTAAAGCACATGGCTATGTAACCAATTTCACATTATTCCACCTGAACTGTCTACTCCAGGCCAAATCCCAAGAAGGTGTCACCACTTATTTCTAGTTTCATCTTAACATCTCAGCTACTGGCAAAGAAATATGAATTTTTATTCTAAGGTGTTGGAGGACTTTTTTTAAAGCGAAGAGAGTTGTTGTGAAATGCTCTGAATAGACATTATGGAATTTTGATTGTTTTATATTTACCTATAATTTCTTCACATACCAGACACAAAATGAAACCATGCAAAATTCATCGGTTATTTCAACCTGGGAGAACATGATTTAACCTCCAAGCTCAGTTAATTTATAGGAAATTGCCAATAAGGATGCCAAGGACACCTCTACAGCCCTCTCTATATCAACTAGAGGCACTCCTTAGTAATAAATATTTACAAGTATAACCAAAACATCTCTCTCAGCTTCATGTCTCAGATGTATTTTAAAGCCCAGAAGAGGAATCTGTCACTGTTGACCTATTCTTCGCTGAGAAGGCAGGAATTTGTGAAATATCTCTAGAGATTAAGTGATTGATACCACAGCGCAGAGCCATTATATAACAACACCAGAATTACTCCCTTTGGCAACTCAACCTCTTAACAGGAGGGATAAAACAAAATCAAACAATGGGAACTGGGGAGCAGCTCCTGAAACAAAACTAAATTATTTGGAAATATGATAATGATTTCTACAGAGATTGAAGGGAATCTGCTGTATTTCTAAAAGGGTATAGGCTTTTTTTCCTGCAGAAACAAGAAAAGTGACCAGGATGAAGAAAAACCTCATCCCCTACACAAACAAGTATTGCATCCACCCTGATCTGGCCCCTGAAGTGAGATCTGGATGGCAGAGCAGCCGCAGTTCCCCACATCCCTGGCTGGCTACAGCAGGGACCATAAAAGGTTTCTTTCCCTTGGAAGCAGAGGGAGTTAGGGTGAAAAGACTGCCCTGTGCCTGCATGTCACCAAGGCGTGAGGAGTGGCTGTGTAGGGGTGGAGCTACCTCAGGCTCTGGGCTTGAAGGAGCTCCAGGTTCTCCAGACTGCGCAACCTAGCACCGTTTTCCCAAAGGTCGAAATACCTGCTCAAATTGGATGAAATATATCAAAATACAGGATTTCAATTTTGTTTATACCATTGAACAGCTTTAAATCTTTATAAAAAGGACAATTGCTGGCTGCTCACTCTGACTCCTCAGATTCTGAGTAGCTGCTAGAAACAGGGGAGTTGAACACGGGTTTCTCTCAGACACAAGACCTATGAACTTAAAGCACAACCTAAAATAGAGCAGTGTAGTCAACATTTAAGGCTACACTCGGACACTTTTCCTTCTCTGTGGGATAGAAAGATGAAGAGCCACTCTGTAGGGCTGGTCAGGCTCACAGGAGGCCCAGGTGCTGCAGGAAAGCCCAACGGTGAAGGCTGCTCCCAAACACTGCTCCTACAAGCCGGCTTGAGCCCCTGCTGGATCTCTTTTTGGCAGCTGGTGTACGGGACTTTGAGATGTTGCACAGGCTGTTTCCTGGTCTCAAGGCAGTGCTAACACCATTCTGCAGAGAGATTTGTCTAAACAGTTCTCTACAAAATGACAGTCTCTACTGGCTCCCTAGGCAATCTACTCCCCACAGTTGCACTGTCCTCACTGTTACATAACTTAATCCTCCTTTCTTGCAATTTCAGTCCATTACTTCTTGAGGCTGGAGAACAGTGTGTTCCTTCCGTTTTGCAGCTATTTCTAGGTGTTTGAAAGTGGTTATCAAGTCTCCCTTATAGCCTTCTCCAAACTAAGCAATCCCAGCTTACCAGTTCATCAAGCAGCAGCCAAACTGCTGCTGGCCGGCGATAGCTCTCAGGAACTGCTGAAGGGGCTGGATTTATCCCAGCCCTACACCAGCCTTGGCCAGCAAAAGCCTCCACCAGCCTCAGCTCTCTGAGCTGGGTGCTCCTCTCCAAGATGTGAAAAGATTTCTGTAGTCCATTACAGTACATTGGGAAATGGAAATTACAGTAAACTTCCAGAATTTACTCCATGACAATAAGATAACATAACTAGAGGGAAGAAAAAAGACACCCTATTTCTTGAAAGTGTGTCAAGGTTCTAAACTTAAAACAGACTTCTAAACAGGTCTCAAGGAGACAGAAAACACAATATATTGTGTTAGCACCCTCCCCACTTCGTCCTCTACCAAATAAATGAAATGAAATGCATGAACCATGTCTTGGTTTGCAAATGAAACTTGGTATTTGTATTATTTGCTGCAATGTTTCAGAGTGCTGTTTTTCATTTTAGACTTTGCATGGTGGTAAACACTGCAATGCTTTACATTCATTAAGCTTGGGCCCATTTACGCTGTGCAGGCAAAGCAAGGGCATATATCTCAGACCCATAAAACATCAGTTCAGAATTACACAGGGAAATAAATGAGCCTAAGCCAGAAGTCCAATTTCCAGAGTCCAGCTCACTAAGGCTAAACAAGCACCTTAGATAAATATGGTCTGTTTTAAATGAAACGTTAGTGTAATTTGATAACTGTCAATAATTCCCTCATTATGCCTAAATGAGCTTGTCATCCAAGGAGATTGCTGCATGGCTGATCTTAATTTGCTAATAAAAACTGCACAGAAGAATTTCAGCTAAGTGGGAACTCTTTGATTCATAAAAGTGCAGCAGTGCACTTTTCAAAGCGCTCTTTGCGAGTCCTGCCTCCTGACTGGCTGCAGCCCAAGACAAGTTTACTCGCTAAGCCTCTAAGAATGCAGCTTTACCATATAAGAACAACGAGCAATTTTCTCTCTAAATCACTATTATTCCTTAGCCCATTATATTTAATTTATTTTTAATCATGTTGTATAATAGAAATAAAATCATTGGATTAAGCATATATCTAGCAGCAGGAGCCCATTATCCTTTGACAATGTTCTGTTTCATTGACATTATATCTTCATTGCAGACAGTTTCCTTGCCATCATTAGTCCTAAAATGACTATTGGATTTCAAGGGTTTCTCCCTAATCCATAATAAGATTTACTTGTTAGCAGTACAAAACAAAACAAAGATATGCTTCTTTCGTTTTACTGCTGCAGAATCCTTATTTCAAGCTACTCAGAAAAAGAGAATAAATCCAGATAATGTAAGTATTAAAAGCTTTCCTGTGTAATTCTGATTCACGGGAAAACCTCAGTAATTTTGTAAGTTTTGTATCTTTGTTTCTCTTTGTGACTTTATTTTATTTAAGTAAGCATTAGTACTCCATTAGTTCTTTAACCAAGTCAGATCTTTGTGCAAAGATGTGGATAAAGCAAATCTTGGTAATGTCCATTTTCTCCAGAAGGAGCTACCAGAGGTTTACTATAGTACACGAGAAGAAAGGGGAAGAAACCTCTATACTGAGACATAGAAGCAACTCTTCTGTGATAAGTGCAAGTTAATGGAGGCAACACTAACATTGGGAAGTTAAAAAACTCCTTCAGCAGCTGAGCCCCACGGGATAATCCAACAGCTCTTAATTTGTACCAATGGCAGTCGCAGTTAAGTCTAAAGCTACATTTTCGACCCTGTATTAACGGCAGCATTAGAATGCAGCAGGGATCATCTACAGAGAAGAGCGTTTCCTGTTATCTCACAGCTATCTTTGAGGAGGTGGCACATTTCCCTATGAAAATTACCCTTACAGATTGCCTCTTATTTAAGGATGTGCTGATACTATCAGGTGGTGCTCTTTTTATGTCGAAACTGCTAGTGACACTGTGGAATTCCTGCATAGTGATTTCAGCTGGGAGAAGAGCTTCAGTAGATACCTATTTTCCATATATGTAGACAAGCTATGACACTGTCACCCCACTGACACGATCTGCATAAGCCATGTGGTTTCCATTAACAAGGGTCCCTACAATACAGTCAACTCTCTATTATCTGGGCTAATAGAAGAATGGAATAACCCAGATAAAGGAAAGACATGCATAATTACTGCTTCCAGATAAGAGCAGGCTCAAATATTTCTGTACTACGGTCCCCAGATAGAGCTCGTACTTCTGTCAGAGCTTTCTAGATCAGAGTTTATTAACACAGGCATTACCTGCATCCACCCGGTACGAGCTCGGCAGCTTGGGTGTCTCCACGATTTAATCACCCCACAAGTAATCTACTGACTGATAATCATCTGGGCTATAATTAAATAACAACTTCCATATCCACCCTTTTTTATGTGCTGATACTGATGTAGTGCAGACCCAGCCATGCATGCCCACGTCAATGTTGAACGTGGCATAATGAGGAAAGGCAAATTATGCACAAATTGCAAGAGGAGTACCCTCAAAAGACAAGCAATTGCAAAAGCAGACAATGATGTAGAAGGGCTTTATATTCACATCTAACAACCTGGAGTAACAAAAGCACTTCCACTCTTATCCCAAGATAAAAGCTGCGGAGGAAGCATACTCAGGATTATCACAGGTCAGAGGTACTGGGCATATGAAGTAGAGTTACCCTTTCTGCAAGAATTGCCAGAGGTTCTATATTGTTTTGCAATTATTCATCCAAAATTGATGAATTTGCAAATATTCACTTGGAATATTTGTCAGTCATGAGTCTCTCAGTCTATAATTTCCATAGACCTTTTAATGCTGATAATAACGACGAACGCCTGCCTGATCTTAGCACTGCTTTACAAATTGTATTACTCCGTCACAAGGGCCTCTCAGCTCTGCTACAGGTGTACGGCCAAACATTGCCTTGGCCACTGTAGAACAAAATACTGATTCTCTTACACAGCAAATGGAAAATTTCGCAAATATTTTTTTCTGGACTCTTATAGGAGGAAAGGGATTACAAAGAAATAAACTAAGACTCTTAATGAAATCAGCAACATCATTTCTTATGCATTATGTTGAAGCAAATCACCTTTTTAAGGAAACAAAACCATTGCCAGATAAGTTTTTAATCGTGTACTTGCAGATGATATTGTGGTGAGTTGTTGCTGGTTATATGCTGCCACATTCCATGTTGCATTTATGAATCAGCATTGCCTTGGTTTGTCTGCACATTCCAATCAGACAGAGCTACATAACGACACAAGCCACGGGCCAAGCTACAAAGGGAAAATTGATGCATTGGAAAAGTTAGCCATGCCGTGCGATGTTACTAGAGTGGCTACAGAAAGAGCAGCAGATGGCAAGCCACAGTACCGCAAGTGTCAAATTCCTAAATAGTACTACATTTTGCTTAAAGCATCACACACAGTGTTCAGATCGCTGCGGAGATCCTGGACGACGTTCTCGATGCTCCTCGTGTCTTTCAGAATCTCGATGCTCTGGGTATACGGGTTGAAATACACAGAAAAGGGACGATTGATTGATTTGGCAAAGTCCCTGAAAGAAGAGAGAAAATTAACAACTTTTTTTCTACCACTAAAGAATAGAAATTTAGATTTTGGAGTCAAGGGAAATAATTCACCTCATCTTTTCTTTGGCTTCTTCAAAACTTTCTGAAACAAAGTAAGCTTCCTG